AATTACAGATGTATAACTTCAAATAAAAGTTATGCAAAGAAAAATCTAACTTGATACTCGACCATTTCCTTATTCCAGCTACAATCTCTTTTATTCATCTGACAATAATAATTTTCATTATGATTTTTAAAATCAAAAATATTACTCCGTAGCAGGTTGTGTTTAGGGTTGTACAGTATTTAACTACGAACTATTCGACTAATTTTGGGATGTATGTAAATATTGAAAATTAATCATCAAGACAGTCACTTTATTCTAAGTTGTCGATAACGAACTTTTAGTCAAATAAACAAGAGTAATAATTTGCGAACTCTTCAACTCCAAGCCTGGTTGACTTCTATAAACGTTTTTGGTATTCAATATAATTGTTGTTCTATTGTCCCGTTTAATCATATTAACGCTGATATTTGTTTTCTCTCTTTCCTATACGCTGATACCTTTTCGTGTATATGTGTCTGCACTTATCCACATAATTAAAGACCAACTGCAGTCGACGCTTATGTGTTTGCATTTATGTGGCCCTTATTAATGTAGGAATCACAGCATGGTTATTCTAATTGGTGGGATATCGACTACAACTCGTTATCATCCACTTGTTTACAATCAAGTTCACATCATTTAATCACACATCAATTACAATGTCCTAATCTAATGAGATTTTTTAAGAATATCTCATCGAAATACTTTCAGAAACATACAAAATATTTTAGGAAAGGTATGATCTAAGTCCATTGTTGATAAATTTAAATCATACACTAAGACAGATGAAGGTGTAACAGCTTAGGTTGGTTGGTTTAGAGTTGACTCCAAACAACCAAGCATATGCCAAGACAGTATTGTTCAAGTATTCATTCACTTTCTTATTTTGTATAAGCGTTATATTCCCTATTATCTTATATTGAATGTTGAGAGCCTTTGTTTGTCTGAGCAGATAATCCCACGCTCCACTGTGACTGCGCGAAGATCGAAATAAAGACCTGTTCACTAATTCTCTGGTTTCTTCTATCAATAGCACGAGGGTTACCTTAAGGTGGCTCAAAACTAAAAACCTTGACACCTCAATTGTTAATATCCAATTAAAGAATGTATATGTACTCATTAGATTAAAAAGTCAGTATCTAACATGCTTTGAATCGTTTTTTTTTCTAACTTTATTTTCATACAGAAAAATCTTCAGTTATCGACAAGTCAGTTCAATCACATACGTTTCGTGATTGCATTCTCCTGGGTACTGGAGTAGTTGGTTTGTTTCAAACATTTGCTTATTATTCAAATAATATGTGGATTTTACAAAGGTTCCACAGATCTCGATCAACCTAAGTGGGATATCACAAACGTATGGTATTGATGCTGATTTATCACGCAAAATACCTCTTTAAATCGTGTTACGAACGTTGGATTGGTTTCACTTCCTATCCAGAAATCCTATTACAAGCAAACTAGACATTTCGCTAATATACGAAGCCTACTCAAGACCCTATAATACCTGAAAAATAATAATAATACAAAAGAAAAATCAAAAGAGGCTCTAATAGCTTCGATAATAAAAGGAAGACAGCCAATTGTATATCACAATACTGTTTCTAGCACTATATTTTATTTTATAATCACACATAATCCCATACTCTCAGCTCCTTTCCGAATCGCCTCCATTTGTCAGTTGTATGTCCACTCACACCTTGGTAACACTTATTTTCTTTAACCTATTAAAATGCTCCTTCTTAACAAATACCTTAATAAAAGAAAATTAGACTGAGTAATCATACCTTAAGCATTCCTTCAAGAATATTGGCTACTCTGCCTCTCGTGTTTTTTTACTTGCTCTCTCTTTCAGCCCCCTTGAGATATGGAACGGGTGACTTACTCCTGCACCATCCTTAAAGCCTTGGATATTCCAAAGGGACATAAGGTTGCGATTTCTAGAAGCTCATACCTTCAATGGACCTATCCTTGACCATCAGTTGCACATTCGCAACGCAACTTTCGTGAAGTGCGTCAACTGTAGTACTGATTAAAACCATCTACATTCATATCTTATAAATTATCAACCCAGCTGAGTAATTTACTACAGTGTATATTGTATCATTTGTATCAATTTGATCTTACCTGTAAACTGGCATGCCTCATGTAACAAACTGTTATTTGGGAATAAATTATTATTATTATTATCTACAGTCGCTACAGTTATTCATTGTTTTATATTCATTGAATTGTGTGTATTATCTCGCATTTCTCTCTCCAAATATCCTTCCTATTCTCGTAAATCTTCTTGAACCCATTGTCAATTCACACAATTTTCTACTTCATGATTCTGTATGATTTCGCACTTTTCCGATCGCACTAGGGAATATTACTATTTCTAGTTTCTTTTTTGTTCCTATGTCATCCTGGAAATATAGCACTTTATAATTTTTAAGAACACTGATTTACTCTTAATTTCCTCGGTTTATATTGTGATACAACAATGTGGGCCGATGCACACGTTCGTCGACTGCTTCTACTTTGATTGTGACTGACTTTACCCAGTGTTTTTTTGTAAAGTAAATTGCCTGGAAACTTCAAGCATCAGGTATTTCCAGCAGTTTGCTTGTTCCATATAAGTTGTGCATATGTCGTTGATCAGTCATGTAGATTAGTTAAACTGAGCAACTCCGAAATCATATTTATTGTCAAAAGAAGGTGATTTATGCAGCTTGACCATACGATGAATGAATATTTGAAGGTATCTGGCCATGGGTTTGGAGAAACCACTTGGTTTCTGCTAATTTGAGTCAACTGTGATGTAGACGGTGAATCAACCGAACTTTTAATGATCTAGTACGCTGCTCAATAGTCTACTTCGTACTAATCTATGATTATGAAAAATAACCTAATAAAGTAAAGGACTAGCGGCTAATACTAAGGTTAAAATTCAGGTAGGATTCTCTTCCAACTAATTTCAATCCCCTAATATCTCAACGTGTGCACATGGCGTCGAATCATTTAGACTAGTGACCACATTTCAACTTAATCGATAAGGTTCATTCGGCACGAAAGGAATAGATAGACATGAAATCTATCATCACTCAGTCCTACCGGGAGTCAGTGTTAATAACTCTGACTGCAAATATGAGTGATGCTGGCTTGAATGTCACGTAGATCACTTTCCCAAAATTATCAGATGCGCTTTTCTGATGAGCGCCAGCTAGCAAGTTAAATAATTCTCGCGGGCTATCCAACAGAACCCATATATATCGTGGAGACACAAAGTCAATAATATAGAGAAACTGGATTTTTATTTATAATTAACTAATGGACAAGCATAATTTAGTATTGTCGTACAAAATAACGAGGAGAGAATTGCATTAGTGTCAAAGTTATTTTCTGTGTACATGTGTAATGTATATATAACAAAGGAATTGTAAGTAAGTAAAACAGAGACGTGAAATGTCACTTTGGTAGTGTTTAAAAACAAACCACTGAATGCAGTTTACCGTAGGAGATATGTGTACGATATTGATTTTATAGATTCTATGCACTAAAAAATGTACAAGGTGTGAAGATGAGTTTCAATGAAAGAAATTGTAGAAACGGCAAGTGTGAATTGAGTACGTGTGTGTGTGTGTGTATGTGTTACCAAAATTGAAAATTCAACTGGACATTTATAACGCGAAAATCGGTAGCTCAGTTGAATCCAACCAGTTGTCATACATACTATTTCAAATGAATGGATCAATTGCAAAGAATATTCAAAGCTTCGTAACTAACCTAACTACTTTAGAGAAGACAACATCATCGAAAAGGAATACGTCCATATTCATAGCTATACATATCAATGAATGAAAGTGATGTTCATTTAAACAAAAAAGAGATTGATAGAAGTATTCTGTTACAGTCAAAAAAGTAAAAATATCAAGTGAAGAACATACTGAGAATTTATCTATAAGGAGAGATAAAGGGAGTGATTGAGGAAGTGTATTGTTGGAAGACACTTACAGTTCAGTAAAAGATTTCTCAATCTGTTTAAGAATATAACGAAATAGTAATATATATGGTCTGGATCATGGAAAGAGGTATATGTGAATAATTTATTGTCAGCAGATGACATGGTTTTATGTTTGAACAGCCGAATGAAATTCATGTCTTTTTGAATGGTACCAATGTCTGGGCTCCTTTTGACAATGCATTTTAAGAAAAGTCGATCTAAGAGTAGAACATAATTGGAGTAATCCTGATGGGAAATGCATTCGGACAGGATGAGGAAACAAAGAAAAAAAGCAGAAGAAATCATTTATTGATATCACTATTCTGTGGAGTAAACTGAATAGTTTTCGAATTAATCACACTAGAAGATTGTTGACTTTTCAAAGTTTACACCACTAAATGATTTTAGACAATCATTGACAACCAGGAAGTACCGAAAAGACAAATGTTTCGTCTTAGCCAACGATATCTTCGAAACACGCTAAAACAGATTGAACTCAGGCTCATAGGTTTGCTACGAAGATCTTTATTTCCTCTATTTCTTACCAGCATTAGCAAGTTTTATATAACATGGAAGTCTGTAAAATATCATTTTGAAAAGAAGCTACAGAATATGGCGTTTCAAGATAGTAACATACACACAGAAGAATCACCATTATTTCCGAATGCACATTGCTAACCCAAAACCATTAATGAGATTTTGCTACTGAATGTTGACATTTCTTGGAAGATAACCTCAATGGAATACAGAAAGATAACTGAATATCTTCAGCTAAGCAGCGTCAGGTTTTGGATGCATATAACATCGGTGAACGGTACAATAGAATTGTAGAGAAACAAACTACACATATTTATCAATGTTTTCCAAAACTCATCATTTGAATGCTCACAGTAAAAACTCGGAAGTAGTTTCCACTGTGAATGGAAGTTCCTTTAATCAACACTGTGATACGGAAGTATCACAATGAAGCTGGGAATAAATAAAAAATGGATTGATTTTCATTGTAAATCGTTTACAAATTGAATATTTTCATTAAAAATCTTTGATCTATACAAGAATTCTCATTGTCTTCTCCTTTCTCTTAATCATAAATTAGTTATTCCGAATCATCAGAACAACTAGGCAAATTCCAATCATCCATTTCACCGATTAAACGTATCGGTGCTTTTACATTGAATAAAGATGATGGTGTTGGTGGTAATGCCATACAACTACGTTGATGTTGACGTAAATGTTCGCTATTGACAAGATTTCCGAAATCCATGAAATGTTGTTGTTGTTGTTGTTGTATCTACATTGAAAGTAAACAAAAAATGAGAAAAGGAGTTATAGCTAGTGTCCAATTATAAAAAAAACGCAAAACTTACGATCATGAGGGACGTTCATCCATTAGGCAGGTGAAAAAAGCCAAAACTACAGCTTATACTCTTCAAAATTGCTAAACGTTACAAGGCTATTCCAATCAACCAATAAAGTGGACACTTCATTGAGATATTATTGCCTGTTTCGAACTGAAATGGTCTAATACCGAGACTTTCATTGTCTTCCCAAGTAATTTCATGGTGAAACAATTTTCTTAATTGTGATCATTACGGCGTTTTCTAGTTACAACGGTTTACGAAGTTCCTTCTCATTCAATACAGGATGTGTGGCAGCTAAACAGATCGGACAACGAGAAGACCACAACACTTCAACATTATTACCCCAAACACAAAAGGATACAAGACTTTCATTTAATCTTCTCTAAGTGAATTGTACTTAAAAATTAAACATCCTCGTGATAAATTTAAGAAGAGTCTATCCACAAGATATTATTTAAGTCACTTAATTCTACTTGTTTCTGTGACCATTTTGGGACATGTTCACACACCCTAATTTTGAAATCACGATTGCTCCTCTCTATGAATGTGTGACCACACAGACATTTACATTGATAAAGACAGTGGGATGTGACACAATCGTTTCCATGTCTTTCAAGTTTTGGATGAAGCGTGCTCCTTGTTATTCATTTGATAATGACCCTTGCTGAGCATTTCGTTTTGTTGATGGCTGATTTAAGCCTTTATTTCAATAAACGGCTATTTGAATCACCTCCAAATGGTAAGGTGATATAGACAGGCTTTTTTTCAGCCAAGGCTACAGTAGGTCTCACTGTACCATGAACTTTCCATCTATTTATGAATTTCAAAGGATAGCTATTTCCTATTAATCTTGTATCTAGCAACTTAACATTATCATCAATGGCGTCATATGTACAAATACGATCAAGCCTGTTGAATAGGCACCTTATCAAACCCCGTTTGTATTGCACAAAGCGATATCTATAATAACTAAAGTATTGACCTACAAACGTTGATTTTCTGGAAATGGATCGTTTGATTGAGCCATCTTCTCGTCTACTCAGAAGTATATCTAGGAAGGGAAGCTGATCGTTATTCTCTTCCACTATGCGAATCGAATCGAATCGAATCATTTATTTCAGATATACTGGGTTTATATCAACCAAACAGACCGCAACGCACCATAAAATAGAAAATAATATTTATACACAATAAAGCCAAAAAGTGGCTGTGAACGTGGGAGACAGTAGTTAATAAACTGAGCATAATTTAGGGACAGTAAATCGTATAATAATGAATTATAGGTCAAAATGAAGCTTATAATAAGAGGAATATAAATATACATAATCTAATTATTGAATAATGATACCATAAGAATATATAGACAATACTTGTTGATTAATATGTCTGAAAAGTTACTCGTGATTTAATCTTCGCTCGGATATAACACCATGAACACATCTGCTAATAATGGTCCTAAAGGACTACGTATAGCAACCCCATCAATGTGGCCAAAATACTCACCTTCAAAAGTGAACTGAACGTTGTCAGTACATAACAGTGGCAAATCTTTAAGAATTTTCAAAGAGACAAGTAATTTAAGATTGTTTAAATATATGTAATCACATAATATATCAATAGTCTTTTACAATGGTACATTTGTGAAAAGGGAATTCACATCAAATGAACACATTGTCTCTTCCTTGGTAATATTGGTTTATAATCCAGAGTGATTGGGTTTCAAATTATGTTCATATTATTACTATTATTACACTTATTATAATCTTTGTCTCTTCTCCCTCCATTTCCAGTCTAGTTGACGTTTTATCTTTAAATATAAATGTTTTTGACAAGTATATGTGTGACCAGATTGTTCGAAATGTGTTGTGCTAATATATCACGCAGATCGCTTTGTTCAATATTTGCATATCTCTTAGTTGTTGTCATTTGTAAATAGTTTTATGCACTTATTCCCTTATCATTGTGTACTTTGACTTGAATAGTATTGCTTGTGAAAATTTTGTAAGGACTTAATAATCTTCTTTCCAACATTATCTCAAAGCAAAGCATCATATTTAATTTGAGTAAAACTAGACAAGTTGAAGAAAGTGCCAAGGAAAACAAACAAAAATCAAATCGTTACCATTAGAATGAATACTTCTAAAAGTGCAAGATCTAGCTAGAACAAAACCTAATTGCACAATACATGGAAGGCATACAAAATTCCTTCAGCTTAATGTATATTATGCTTTTTACAAAATAGTTCACCCTTGAAAATACACAAATATGCGTTAGACTACTTATCAATTTAGTAAATAACACAATGTTAAGTATGTATATCAAAAGAAATCAATGAATTTTTGACTTACCATTGTTGTCGATGTTAACACTGAGGTCGGTAAATTAGTTCTAGGCAAATCCACTGTTTCATATAATGAATCGATTGAACCGAAATTTCTCTTACTACTATCATTATTATTATTATTATTAGTAGTAGTAGTGGCAGTAATAATGTGGCTTTTATTAAAATGTTGCATATGATTATTATTATTATTAGACCATAATGGTGGTAATGGTGGATGAGATTTGTATAATAATTGATGATTAGAATCCCTGTTTTCCTCTTCTTGTAATGATGATTCCATTGATATTTCTTGATAATTTATATTACGATTTAAATCATAATAATGATTGCTAATCATTGCATCAGATAATGGGCGTGAATCAGAATCACCTACGAGAATGATTTTGTTTTAGAAAGAAGGAAAAAATAAGGAAAAATAATGAATAGCATTCATAGTAGATGTTGAAGAGATGAAGAGTAGTCCTCGATAAAAGTCCACAGAGGCCTTGTGAACACTGGAAAACCTTTTTATCTAATCAGCATTCAATAGGATTGTCTCACAGACATCTTGATCGTGAAATGTCACTTGTCACATTTCCCATTGGATGACTGCCTCTAGTGTTACCACGTTTAGTAGGATTTTAGTACCTGTCAGAAGCCCAAGTTCATCTGAAATGCTTCAATACCTTCAATTTCCTGTACAATAACTAACCTTGGAGTTAAGCATTCTTTCTACATTTTGCAGCATTTCTCTCATTCTCAAGTTGTTGTGTTGATTAGGCTTGGGGTTATTACAGGAGTTTAAGCAATCAAGAAAAATAACTCAATTATTCAACAGTTTTACACGGTACATATCAAGCTATTGTTGCATAATATGTTATCGGCCAAATAAATCTAGTGATCAGGCGTTCACTGAAAGTAATAAGTTAGATAGTTTGTTGAATTATGAGTCTGTACAGACAAAGAAACCTAACCCAGGACGAAACAGCTAATCACTATTCTCTGACTACTATTGCATGTCAAACTAATATTATTTCGTCATTACTACAGATTGTATTATCTGATAAATGTGTTTATCAAACTATGGAATGAGACAATTACCTTTCATTGTATTGATTCTACGTTGGACTTCATGATCTGATGACAACAATGCTGATGCAACTGTTAGTGTTCCAGCTACAAGTTTGTTATCTGTATTCAACGGATTACGGTCAGAATCAATTGAATATGGTTGTTTTCCAGTAATTTTATTTAGTGTAAATCGGTTAATTTTCTTATCATACGAACGTGTTTCATCATAAGTTACATATTCAATACTATTTGAGTTTTTCACTCGAGGTAGAGCAACAATCTCATCACTGTTAGAAACAATTGCTGTAGCAGTGGGAATTGAAATGTTGGTTGTAGAAGTAGTAGTAGTAGTACAAATATTGGTAATAACCGTTGTAACATCTATTGTAGGATTATTATTCATTGAATTAGTTTTATTTGATGATACAGTTTGTGATGTGATCAAGTGTAATGAACTATATTGATCAGATTTTCGACTTTTTATTGAATTTTCTGACACTTTAGAAAGATCAGAATCATCAGCGAATACTAATGAACTAATTGCTGAACATGTTCCACTATGAACTGCAAGATGTTGATCACAGTAATCAATGACAAATGACAATCATGAAAGTTGACACAATACTAGACTGTGTGTAGTGAACGAAGAATTCAGGTTGAGCAGACCAATCTATTGTTTGATGTGATATTAGAGTGTGCCTTTTTATAATATGAAAACCATACATAAAGTAAACTACTTGCACATCCTCCTTTAGTTGTCTTCCTTATGATTTATGATTGTTTCAATTCTATTGCTATTACAATTGCTCTCTGTTTACATTCCTGTTCACTTAAATTCGATCTTCTCAATCTTCTGCTGCCAGGCATTACACTTCTGATTGGTGTTACATACTGCCACATGAATTCTATTTGGCTGAACAATTAACTTTAATTCCCACCAACATCAATTTACGAATTCATCAAGATCATCATCATCATCGATGATAGTAATAATAAAGGATACTTTCATTGGAACAACTAAAGGTTTTCCTTGTATACACTGACAAAACTGTTATCTGATGAAATTTGTTATTCATGTGGATTTTGAAAGCCGATCCACTGAATATTTTTCCTAATATAATACCTGAACTGATTAGTTGTGGATTAAACTAAGTAGATAACTACAGTTACATTAATTCAGTTTTTGTACTGGTTGTTCGAATCTTCCCAATAATGCTGAGGATTGTGATTAATCTATCTGTCTTATTGGCATCCTGTCTGTGAGGATAGCCTCAATATTGCCAATAAGTCACAAGCATGGTAAATAGAGATGGATGGTGGCTAGCGATGCAAACCAGGACACACGTTCCGTCGAATCATGAGACTCGTCAGCTGAATGTACTAATTACATTGTAATAAGCCGCATCTTTCTATTAACTTGAATTAGTCTAAGCTTTGTACAGTTTGTCTTTACTGAACAACTTACTAATCATCGAACTCTGTAATTTCTTTCTAATTCTATAATCTATTTAAATAAAAGACGATTGTATATTGGGACATTCGATAACGTGTGAAACGACGAAATAGTCAAAAATCTTAACGTTTAACAGCTACCGCACTTGAGAAAAGAAACCAAATATATGAGATGGTAGTTAGAGTTAGTCGACCGTGAACCCTGGGTTCATGCTTCATGCAATCTTCACGGAACTGATGCTCCCTGACCGACTCGATCCCGTGTCACCCGGTTTCATAGTCACTGAGCTATCCAGGGCGTGACTAATCCTCCTCTTTTATAATTGACTGATTACTGGTTGGTAAGTTATCAAGGTGAACTGGATCAGGTCCTCCTTAGTGCAGATCGAATTCTATCTATGACATTGATCACTACCCAATGATCAACCAAATGATTTAGATCTTGTCAAAATTAGGTAATTCATTATAATTTTATAATCTGACTAACAGTTGTCATTTAATGACTTGGAAGAAAAATAATTTACATATTATGTAAAACCATACGCTGTTGAGATTTAGTATTGATGATAAGTGAATGAAAATTAAGAAGCGTTACCTTGTGTACTAAATTTTCAACTGAGTTAACTTCAGAAAAATTCACTGAAACAAATTTTCATTGAAATCATGAATCGACGATCAATGTTGGACAACCATTGAAAATCTGAAAGCATTGGATGCCCATTTCGTCCTCGTATGAAACTATTCAGCAGAGAATATTCACGATCCCACGCTTAGGACTGTGCTCCAGGACCTTCGGTCTCGCGCGAGAACGCCTAACCTCTAGACCACAGATACTGAGCTCAACCGTATTTCACTTCTACAGCATTAATAAAACGTGTATTTCAGTTTGCAAATTTACCAGTTAATTTTGAGGTTTAGAAACTGTCGACTGAATTCCATAGGTTTATAACTGCGGTAACTACTAAAGAGTCAGTTTTTCAAGACATTAACCTAAAACAACACTTCACGATGCTAACTGTATACAAAAAAATCAAATAACATAAGTTCAGTACTTTAAAGTCTATCATAGTTGATTCAGTTTTAGGCGAATGAATTTTAATTCGACTGAGGATTATGATCACATACACTTTGCAAACTTGGAATTAAATAACTGGACGTTTTTTTAATTCGGTTGGGCAATAAATTGTTTTATCTAATTAATATCAATGACTGGCTACGCCTGGAATCCCTCCAGTCCCAAACCCTCATAAAGAAGGAGGGTTGGGCATGTGGTTAGCAACCTTATCCAGTAGAAAACTAACGCGCTAAAAAATCGCTAATATCAATGACTAGTTTATATCACAGAATGACTTTTCTACTAAGCACCTATTAAAAACGAGGAATTATTTGATAGCCATTTTATCTTAAAGCCCTTCAACAAAACTCGATCACGAGTATTCCGGAGATCATGCTGGTTCTCAATTATTCAGTAGTCTAAATCCAGGATGAAACAGTTATGCCAGTATTGTTTGTACTTTTCAGTAATCGGCTATTCTATGGTGGAAGCCACAAAAATTGTACAATCTCAACAAAATATTCCATATATTAATCATACACGTTTAGAGTATACTGTCATTTCTATTTTTAGCATCATCTTATGCAACTTACTATTCAATTTGATTAAATCACCATTTTCATTCACTGCTCTATCGAGATCCATATCATTATAATGATCAAAGAGATTGACTTTCTGTGTATTTATCAAATTTTCCGGTTGTTTTTCTTGTTGTTGTCTCCGTTTCAATGAAACAGGTTCCAAATACGGATCAGTTGTTAGATATGGTAAATGATTTAATTCATCTTTTTCAATATAATCAAATTTATTATAATTTAATGAACTATTGTACATTGAATTCGGTACTGTTTGTTTTACTGTCACTGAAGTAGAATTTAATTTAGCCAATGGATCATTCTTTACAATATTATTATTATTATTATTACTACTAGTACACCCATTGTTATTGTTGCATAAATCAATCAATTCTGTGGATAGTAAGGAATCTATTCGACTACTACCTTGTAAACTAGTTTTTGTTGTGTGACGTGATAACATATCATTGATGGTAGTGTGTTCATCTCCACTGCTATACATAGTATGATGATTTTGATGTTGATAAGCATCTTGATGAAATAATGATGGTTTTACTGTTTGAGTACTCCACATATTCTCGATATAATTATGTTTTCTGTGTAAATCCTTCGATTCTGTTAGTGGAATGAAGAGAGAAGAGGGACAAAACATAAAATGAAAAGATAAAACTTGTGCTTGTTCTGAAAACAAGAAAATGATCGAATTTTGTAGTTTAAGACAAGTACTGACATGAGTAAAACATCCAATGAAAACAAGGAAACACTGGAGAAACAGATGTTCTTTTTTGTATGTGACAACTAAACAGTGAGGCTATAGGATCCCAGGAGCCTGAGGTCTTGCGTTGAGCATCTAATCAACTTCAATTTATAAACGATATAAATTGATGGTAGTCATCATAAAGAGAACTGGGGCGTCTCTACAGTGGACATATCCTTGACAGGATAATGTGAACTACTTCAAACGTACCGTAAGGCTTCAGCTAAATCCTTTTAATTTGAGATAAACTATACAATATGGGTCCTAAACAAACACACTGACTGGTTGTTTATTTCGTTACTGACTCACTGCTATTGGTTTTACTTAATCTAATTAATCAGTTCCAATGATTGTTTATGTTATGATAATAACCACAAGTTGTATTTAACCTGTTTTAGAAATACTGTTGGCTAAGACTATGCACCACATTTTCGGCCACATAAAACCTAAGTATTCAGATTTGATAAATTTTATGCGACCAATAATATGTGATTTACCAATCAAGGAAGTTCAGTGCATATCGTTTACACTTTCTGGGTCATTTCACGTCATTCAATTCCAATCGCTCCTCTTGGGAAAGCAAATAATTCGACACCATTTCAATGAGATAATTATTAGAAAGTAGAGAGTGTTGAATAATTATTTCATCCTAATATGTAACCCCTCAGTAGTGTGCATCCATGATCCAGTTGCAAATGAAAGCCAAGACATTCAGATCTCGCAGCCGGTGGCTAACCACCACACAACCTCGTCGGAATCTAGTTATTTACCTCACCTAACGACTCCTAAGCGACCATATAATTATTATTATTATTAGTTCATTATATAATCCATGAGATTCAATAATCTGTCTAAACCTTCTACAGCAATAATTAAACATGAATTGAAAATGCAGGTCAATCAACATTGAACGTAAGGGGGATAACTTTAATAGTTATTATATGACTATTTGCAAGTAGTGTGAAATTTTAACCGAAAATATTAAGGAAAACTATGTTACCTACCTGACATTGATTGCAAAGCTGGTTGCATCAACGGATGAGTAACATGACGACCATTTAATCGAAATGAATCAAAATGTTGTTTATTGACCGGATAATGACTGGTCAATGGTACAATATTACCACTATTATTATTATTATTTGATGTAGTCAAATAGTTAAATGTAGGTAATACTGGCATTGATGGCATCATCTCTGTACGTGATGTATTGAATGATGAAGACCTTAAAGATGATTTTTTATAAGATAATCCATAACCATTACCATTATTGTTATTATGATATCTTGGTGGTGTAAATGATCCGTTACTTTGATTAAAACTACGAAAAAATGATGATAATCGTCGAATACCATTACTAAAACTATTTCTACTTGGTGGTGTAAATTTCCATGGTAAATCATTATCATTCACATTGATCCATGAAATAGATTGTATATTCGAATTAGTCTTGGGATAAATAGACGGTGATGTATTGTCTCCATTACTATTATTATATTATTTGGCAAATTCATAGGATACTTTGTATAAATTGGTGAATTCGCTTGATCATCATTTGCGTATAAAGCGCTAACTATCCCGGAATTACTACCGTTGTCTGTTGTCGTGATCAACGTCTTTGTACTTTGTCGTGTTCTTTCACTGCCAGATCTTCCCGATCTTAAAAAAATATGATTTGAGTATGGATGTTGATGAATCAATTCTTCCTTGTTTGATAACGTTGATGTTGGTGATGGCGATGATGATATAGGTATCGCAGGTAATGATGGTTCAGCAGTTGTACCAAATCTTGAAACATGATCATTGACCAATAGTCCACTATTATTTGATGATGTCATTAAATGACGATTATTTGGTAGTTGTGGAGTGGATTTCCCTAAGAAACTACCAGATGATTCTAAAAGACCACGTTGAGATAATGATTGAATTTCCTGACGTCTTTGTAACTGTGTATATAATCGACGTTTTTTTCGCATACTTCTACGCCATGGTAACCACCATGAACGTGGCATACCATTCGGTGGATTCAATGACGAAAATAGAATTGTTTCACTAGATGCTCCAAATCTTGAATGGTTATTATTCTTATTAGTATTAGTAGTACTATTAGTATGATTAGCATTATGATTAAAGGAAGAGGGAGCACCATTATTGCTGCTAATATGAGATGTGGAATTTGTCCGTAGCCATGGTAATGAGTTCATAATCTGTCGACGATCTGAACTCGGTGTATTTGGTACCAATGTTAATGCTGAAATAGCAGTAGGAGTTTTTTGATTTCTTTTCATAAAAGAATTACGCCATGGTGGTAAATGACCATCTGTAATAAAGTCAATATTCGACGGTTTCCTATTCACACCTGAAACAGTTGATGAATGAAGTGAAAATGTAAATTGTTGTTGTTGTTGTGCTGTATTCAAAAAATCTGGGAAACTTTCATTGATTGTATTATGACTCAATAAATGTGGATAAGATTTGAAGAGATTTCCATTGTTGAAAATTGTGTGATTATGGTTGATGTTGTTGTTACTATTATTATGAAATGACATGAGAGATTTTTTACATGTTGGAAATAATAAAGTATCTTTAGATCTACTGAATGTTCCCAATGTACAGGAACCAAGACGATTCGACGATGAAATTGCAGCTAGATCAATAGTTTTATGATAATGTTCAAATAATCTAGAATGAAAAATACGATGAAGGATAATCTAAACGATTCTATATTAAAATGTATAATGTGCATACGAAAACAGACTGGGAATAAAGTAGAGAAGATTAATTTAACACTTGATATCAATCGAGTAATTTATTAGCGATTATTGATTTGTATTGTGTTAGTAGGCGGAGACTGTTCGAGTTAGTTGAAGACAGTCAATAGGAAATCTTCTTTGACCTACAGGTAATGTGTTATATGACACTCACTAGTAAGGCATATATGTAGTCTTTGTAGGAAACTGATATAACTTGTGGGATTTAAACCAACTTCATAGTTAACAGAATCCCATCAACATTATAAGATTGCGCAAATGCGATATTGGCTGCTGCTTAACAATCAGTCAGTTGTAAGCTGAATAAAGCTTAGTTAGGGTCAATAAGACAACCGTAACTAATGGTTATAGACATCAAGCGTCATGACATGAAATTGACTGCAGTGCCGCGAATATTTATGACCTCTGTCATTTTTCGTATTGCTTTTTCATCAGATCCCCACTTACTTCTTCAGCTGTATCCTACAACATTTGTGCTTTGCTTACCAACAATCATATGATTGATAGTTTGGTAAATTTTGCTATTCATAGTGATAATCGTATTTGACTATGATAAAGTAAATGAACATTTAATGGCACAGAAATTGTTGGTAGAAATTCATCACTACCTAGGAAATAGCTAACAAGTATATTTCTTGCAGTCGGTATTTAATGGAATCTTCTCAGGAAGTTCTGCAAAAACAATGCATTATGCATCATATCTTGGTTGGATGATTACCGACCTAGAAGCTCCCAAGATATTATCGTCATATATAAACCACAGAATTTAACTGTTCATTCGACACCTCTCACTTTTTGGATTCTGTTTAAGTGATAAGTGTACGGCATTTTATGTAAAAGGACTAGAAAGAGTTTGGACAAATCAACCATTATACAGCGTTACATCCCACATCAATACACAAATATATATAATAGAAAACTTTAACTTACTTATGCCTTAGACTATAAACAACAAGAAGAGTGGCCAAAAGGAATATTAATATTCCAAGTATAGAGCCTAAGGCAACTAAAAATAAAGATAAAAGAGCTTTTATAAATATACATTTCAAAGAAATAGGAATAGTTACTGTTCAAATATTCAGTGGACAAAAACAAACAAACAAACATGCACTACGAACTATCAGACTGTAAACCGCAAATTCAGAACATGTTCTCTTAATTCATCAAACAAAATCTTATTGAAGTATCAAATAGCTGTGATACATTTAGAGTATGTGTTGAAGTGAAGTACAAAAATATGTACTTGACGAAAACAAGATAGATTGGATGCATAAATATACTTTTGTAAAAAATATAATACAATGAAGTATAAATAACTCGTCGGTAAATCTCTACAGATACACATGATTGATTTTAAAAAACTGACCATACACGGCATCATTCACAGAACATAAAAACGATGACATTTACATTCAAAATAACTGGAAATACTTTACGAATTATCAAAGAAGAAAAACATAAGGGTCTGTAGAGTATATGAAAGAATAAAGTATTTCAATTATAGTCAGATTCAATAGAGATGCAAGAAGAAGGACTATCAAAGATGGTTCAAAACTGATGCAACGTAGGATTTAGATATAAAGGGGAGCGTTCATTATTTGAAAAATCTTCATTCACAATATTGATTAACTAAAATCATGTATATACACATATATCCTGTAGGACAGTATTGTAAAGAGATGTGTGTTACTCATGAAACATCCTATTCTACCTACGGACTTCGTTTTCACTCTACACGATTCAGATTTGTTTGCGAATTAATATCATGAAAGCACCAAATAGTGCGGTTAATCCATCTGTCGATTGTATCAAAATAAGTGATATATATATATACAACTTTTTCAAAGATACAAGATGATTACATCAAATACAATGATAAAAGTTTGACAAATAATGCATTCCTTAGGTGAACACATCATTGAGAATATGCTAAAATAAAAGAGTATCGCTACTATTAGTAGTAAAAAAAATAAAATGTAATTAAGTCAACACACATTAGGCACTAAAGAATAATAATAATGCAAGCATAAAAATGTCATGTCTTGGACGTTAAATTCATTCAATGAAAAGAGACATATATGTTTGTATATAGCTATGTAATATATACATGCCCTGGTACAGCCGAGACTGATATCAGTTCCTGATAATAATAACTTGAACTACTAACTGTATAGATAATTAATTAACATTTGCATAGACAAGTAAATAAATAAATATAGAAGAAGAAGCAACAGATCGTATTAGAAACATTGGATGAGGAAAACTTGTCCAAATACAAATTCCTGCTTGTTATTATTATTCACAGAATTCTAGTAACCATAATAATTAATAATAGTGATAATAAACTCATTTCGATAAGGTTAACATTACACAGGTACAAAGAGTTATGCACATTAATTACAAGCATTCTATAAAGGAAACACTGAAGAACACAATTTAAGCATAAACAAACATAATACATGCTGAATAACAAGATCATTTATAAAATCAGTTAGAACATTTAACATTATAAAGATTGTCATTGTTATCCTTATTGTTATCACAGTCATTATTATTATTACCCCACAGAATCTCGAAGAGAAACTTTTGTCAACTTTTATGAATATTATCGTTACATGCACATTCACACAGACGAACACACATGTACAATCCAACATGGAAATTACCTACAGACACATTGAAAGTGATTTACCAATATGAACTTACCATCCTATCACGATAAGTTATTTTACTTAAAAAAGAAAGATATTAATGGGGTTATTATTATTAGTAGTATAGTTGAGAAGTAGAGAGCAAACAGAATTTCAGGCCAAAGTAGAAAACACTATCGTGAATTCGTTGAATTTTGATATTTCGTATGCTTTTAAGCCCCTAGGTGCGATACACGGGTATGTTGTTAATACGCAGTTGGAATGGAACAGTTATTTAGTGCTCATTACTGTGAATGATTGTCTAACCACAGTTATTATTCGTCATGTATACTATAAAAATCTCAACAATCTTGACGAACACCTTACACTAATGAAAAGTAATTTTTGGAGAAACAAACACTTTGCACTGCCTGAAAGAAACCATGTACGCGGATTTTATAAATCCATCATTCAACTACGAAGTAATGTTGCTTCAACGTGATGTAGATAGACTACAAATTTTACAATAAAAGAAAATGTAGTGATGGGTGGTTGGGTGGTAGCACTGATTAATTTATCGAAAATGACCAATTACACTAGTATTGGTTGGTTATTAATTGGTGGTAATGATGTTATGATTATCTAAGGATTTCGGTCAAGTTCTTAGCTCAATTGAACTACTTCATTGACATGAAGTTATTGTTGTTTGATTGAAGAAATTGCAAAGACTATTTTTTAATTGTTTTATAGTAGTCATTATAAATAGACATTACTAACGATTTGAATGTGAATGTATTCTGTTGAAAAGTTTCTGACTACGACAAGACCATTATCATCCATTGCTTAGTGACTTTCAATCTCAACCGCTTACCCACCCCCAAATGAAATCAAAGTGTTGTCAGTTAACCGACAAAATAAAAATGTGATTTCAATAAAATAGATGAATTGTAGATAGCAGAAAAACTTAATGTATGCATTTCGTTCGATTCAGAGATAGCTAGTTAGCTACGTGTACCGGCATCCCAATATTGATTTTTATATTGAGACTGCAAAGCAGAAACCTCTTTCATTTCAAATATCCAATGTGCTGTGCACTCAACTATTTATTTCACTCATCAACGAACTAGTTTAAAATATCTGATGTTTATATTGTTATTAGTAAAGATTCTGATCATGGCTATATCAAGGTGATTAACACATGATGCACACATATATGCTAACAATAACTGATCAAAATACAATTGTGTATATTATTAACAGTATAATTCAAACCATTTACTGTTAATTAATTTAATTATTTGTTGTTTTATCACCCAATAACCATAATCGGAAATTGCTGTACACAGATAATTAGAAATGAAATGAGAATTTCATTGAAATCATGAACCGATCCAAGTTACACTATTATTTAAAACCTGAAAGCACTGAACGCCCGTCCCGTCCTACTATAGGACGCGTCAGAAGTGCGAATCTACAATCCCGCACGTGTGATTCGAACTCAGTGACGTTGGCCTCTCGAGGACGTTAAACCTCTGGACCACGGATTCCGCATCTAAAGATTTTAATGTTTAACTCCAATCGATCCAGGACATGGCGTGACCATCTTCCATTGTGATTGGTGTTTAACTGCATCACACTCAACACAACCAACTCCACCGATTACGGCTTATTACAAGAACTTCAGAAATTTCCGCTCACTAGTTAAAACATAATAATTATCAGTAAAGACTTGTTGAAATCCTTTCATGATTTAAATGAAATTCAATAATCCCTACAACCTCTTATTGACATAGCAAATATCATTTGCTTTACATTCAATATTCAATATATGCGTAGATTATTTTGTAGTCACTTTTATTCCGTAATAAAAATACTCTTTATTTTAATCAGAATAAACTGACATATACCACACCATATCAACATACCAATATAAGAACATGAGTATTCAATGTTCAAAAGACAAGCACCGAATTTTGTCTTCAATATTAATTCATTCATTTAAAACACAACATCGCTGTGTACATGTAAGAAAGCAAAGTGATACACATACACAATTACACATAAGATCATCATTCTACAGAAGTATCATCAGAATAAAACCAGATTCATTTTGTTTGTATTAGATAAGTAAATAAAATGTCTCAACATTTATGACATCAATAAATGTGTATTCTGCCAAAACTGAACTGCACAAATACTACTACTATCCACAGAATATTGAGATCGAGGGGAAAGTGTGTGTGTGCGTTTATATATACAGAGACGTGATCGTAGAAAAAATGGTGCAAAACACTTAAGTATTTTCATGAGATGTTTTTCTTTATTTCAGAAAATGTCTCAATAATGAGTCATTATTAACGGTCCATTGGAACGAAATTAATTGATAGTGGAGATAAGGTATTGAGATATACAAATTAGACAATAGACGACTTAGTCTACGTGTGCTTGTTAAACTAATTTTTGTCCTGTCTAAATCATGGTTTAAGGCTCACACATATTGTGACCTTGAAATAACGATGAAAAAATGAGCAATCGGCTTGATCAGCATTGTTATACATTTTGAAACACAGCCGTAAAACTTCATTGGAACCATGTTATTCATTTAACGCGTTATAGAAGTTACACCTAAAACAGTCCATCTGACTCCTTTAAGTAAGCAGAAGAAACAAGATATGTTTGAACAATCATACGTTTCGATTAAGATTATGAGTCGATCAATATCAAACCGCCACTGAAAACCTGGAAGCACTGAACGACTGTTTCGTCATAGCGTGTGACTTCTCAGCAGTAAGCATCCACGACCCCACACGCGGGATTCGAACCCAGCACTGTCGGTCTGGATTAGATCTGAACGTTTTTTGCAAAAGTCGGGTGAAATAACTGACTGGCTGCTCTAATCAAACAAGGTCATGAACGCTGTCCAAGCAAGTAATCCAATAACTGCAAGCCAAATGATTCAACGACATTAAACCACCGTTTCACTACTGTGTTACATAGCCATTTAAATATTAATAACTAAGTAGAAGTCAGATACTAATATTTCTAACTTAATTTAACACTTATGAAATGTTTCTCAAATAAGAATTATTACCAAAACTACATATGTCGGTGAGCAATTTTCAAGTCGAGTCTTATATTCGGTCAATACAACACCATGGAGAAAATTTCAACCCCAGAAAAACCGAAAAGGTATTCGTAACATTTGCGTTTTTTTACACAAAGGTTAGCCACGGCCCAGCAAATGAAATCTACTTAGATGAACATACAAACATTTGCAAAAACGATAAAAATCCAAATGAATTCGTTATGGTTTAGTTCAAACTACTAATAAAAATCTCAGTAGTGATTCAATTATTAATGAGTCCTAGTCAGAAGATGTGACTAATGCTGTTGCATGACAATAGTGCCAAATTGTAAATTGATTGGTGTTTCATACATGCATCAATAGACCCCAAAGCCAATGATCCAAACGGTTGTACATTCGTCATGATAACTGCTGGGCTGGGATTACATCCCTGAGTTTAGGGTTGTGAGTATGCACTCCTGAGAAATCTTAGACTAGTAAGAAACAGCTGTCTTTCACTGCATGATTTTCAATCCTAGCCCAAATATGAATAATCTGAGACGAAAACTGCTGATAAAGTTAGCAATGCTATGAAATTTAGCAATACTCTATGAATTCAGTCAACCAAACTAAAAAATACATAAACGAGTCTATATTGACAACATAATCTCCACAGTAAGTTCATATAGTGACAGAGAATGATTAGTTCTAGTACTGAATATTAACAACAGGAGTTCAAAAACCCTTACTGATAACTATATTTCTGTTGAATAATTAAGTAGCTTAATCGGTAACGGATTGACTATTGATAAGGAAAGTACTGGGTTTGAGTCTAATGTACATAACAGACTGAAATACAGGTATGCACAGTCGATGAGTCCCAAATAGAGAGAAACGCTCGCCCTACATCCCACTAGCATGAGTTCTTACTGCCAAAGAGTGTCATTTGTGTACGAAACTCCTTTCTGTTGCTTCGCGGTTTCCAATGATAGTTGAACTACTATCAATTCCTGATGTGATCAATTCATTGTCAACAAATTTCACAAAATCTAAGGTAATAATAGTAAAAATAACTTAAAATTATTTGAATAAGTAAGACGAAGTATACTGTTTTCGGTATACACCAACAAACATCTTGAATTCAACAAAAATCGAAAGGATTAATTGGACTGGATCTTGTGAAATCCCGTCCAAACGACATTCAGACATGTTTTGAATAACATTGAATTTCATGAAAAAAGATAATTGAAGTTCTTTTGAATATATTTCTTATGAGTAATACAGTGAATTACAAGTAAGGACCGGAGTAAGACAAGGCTGTTTACTCCCTCCCTTCCTCTTTCTTCCTGTGGTCGACTGGATTATGAAGACCTCGACATCTGCGGGAAAACACGCCATACAATAGACTGCTCATAACCAATTACACGATTTGGACTTCGCAAATGACCTAGCCCTCATATCGCATACACACGAACAAGTGCAGATGAAGACAGCTAGTGTAGCAGCAGTCTCTGCATCAGTGGGCCTCAACATACACAATGGGAAAACCAAGGTCCTCAAATTCAAAAAGGAGAACAGCAATCCAATCACTCTTGATGGCGAAACTCTGGAAGATATGGAATCCTTCATGTACTTGGGAAGCATCATCGATCAACAAAAAGGATCAGATGCAGACGTAAAGGATTGGCAAAGCAAGGGTCGCATTCCTACAAGTGAAGAACATATGGAACTCAAAACAACTTTCAACCAATATCAAAGTCACAATCTTCAATACGAACGTCAAGACAGTTCTACTGTATGGAGCTAAAACTTGGAGAATAACAATAACCACAATCAAGAAGGTACAAGTATTCATAAATAGCTGTCTACGCAAGATACTCAACATCCATTGGCCGGATATCATCAGCAACAGCCTTTTGTGGGAGAGAAGAAACCAGCTTCTAGCTGAAGAAGAAATTAAGAAACAACGGTGGAAATTGATAGGACGTACACTACAAAAACCACCAAAATGCATCACGAGACAAGTGCTAACTTAGAATCCTGAAGGGAAGCGGAAAAGAGAAAGGTCAAAGAACACATTACGTTGGGAAATAAAAGCAGATATAAAAAGGATGAGGAACAACTGGAAAGAGCTAGAAACGATTGTTCAGGACACGGTTGGATGGAGAATGCTGGTGGGCGGCCTATGCTCGTCCACGAGGAGTAACTGGCGTAAGTAAGAAGTAGGTAAATGAGTTATAAGTAATATCTCCTTTTACAAAAAGTAGTTCAACTAAATAAATAATATTGTCACAATCTGGAAAACTCACAAATATGATAGAGCTCTTGGAGATTGTTGAACATCATTGAGATGACGAACCGACCTATGTTAGATTAAGACTGAAGCACTGGACGGGTATTTTATCTTAATATGGGACTCCACAGCAGTATTCATTTATGATCAAGCGTTACAGACGAACAAACTCAAGATCTTTAAGTCTCTCGGCAAGAACTTTACCTACAAACCAGCGACCAATGGTTTATATGTCAAATTTCAATAAGTTAGCGATAACGAATACCTTCATCCATTGCCAATAACTGTCATTCATCCCAAAAAGTTAAAATCCGCTTGTTCCAGCTTGTCGCAAGAAATCCCGGACGGCTTTAAGAAGTTATCAATGAGACCTCAATATCTTTGACTCTATAATCGATGAGGTTTCGGAATCGCATTGCTGAGGAGCAACAAAGTAGGACGGAATAGTTGTCCAGATATATATTTTTTCAGAAGGGGTTTTGTAGGGATTTTAGTAATTTCCATAATTGAAATCATGAGTCCGTTGAGGTTAAACCACCATGCAAAACCTGGAAGCACTGGATGGCTGTTTCGTCCCATTATAGGACTCTTCAGCAGTGCTCATCAACTCACTGAAGGCAATGATGATGGTGTCGCAATTTCGTGGATTGGTTGACATTACCACCGTTGGATGCCGGGTCAGTGGTCTAATGATTAGGCGCTCGAACGCAAGACTGATATGTCCTGGGTTCGAATTTCGAGAGGCGGGATCGTGGATGCGCACTGGTGAGGAGTACCATACCAGGACGCAACGGTCGTCTAGTGTTTCTAAGTTTCCTATGGTGTTTTAGCTTCAATTGACTCGTGCTTTCAACTATTGAGAAAAATATCTGCTGTCAACTTTACAGTATCAAATAGTTCCTTTGTTAGAACTACTACGTTCAGTGATGCACTGCAGACAGTCGTTAAACTATTCTGACTTCTATGATCATAATAACAATATTCACTACTATAAATTATGCATCGGTAACAAATTCTCAGCATCAGTTGTGTAATATCACGATAAACTTCAGTAACCTGGACCTGTCGATTTATCTTGAATGATAAAAATTTTCTATCAGCTCAGATGCTGCAAACACTTTTTTTCATCAGATTTTCAATACATGAATTACAATATACTTGTCTTTGTTCCTTTTTACTTATCAAAAGAATAACAATAAAGAGAACACTATACGAACAACTGGAGGAGCTTGATGCAACATTCCCAGTATTGAAGTAACGTGATAAATTGTGTAAGCTATTCACACAACACCGCATTAGTACATACAGTTAGCACTTATATTCATATTCAATTCAAAAACAAATTTAAAATATGAGGGTTTATTTCAATCAATCATGTATTCGTGTTCTATTCACGATTGACTTTGATTTCAGTAGTAAATCAGTAGTATCATTGATAGTTCTGATACAATGAAAGTGTTACTCAAAGATAATTATATAAAAAAGTGTATACTTTATAAAGAACTATCAACATTAGTTTCAAGTTACTTTTTCTTATCAAAGTATGCGTTAAGATCTGTTATTAATGTTTACTTATTCAATCTAATTACTGATAAACTTAGAAATCACTAACATTATGGTTCGTATATTTTCTTATACTTTGTCTGTTCTCTGACGAAGAAAAAAACAAAAAGAGGCGATTATTTTACGACTTATATATTAAATATATTTGTGGTGCGTTCCGATGTCGACTGATATAAGTAGTATGTATCATCAATCGAAAGTGAAATGCCTAGTGGTAGAAGGTTAAGAAGACCGAAGAGAATGAAAACAGAGAATGATTGGTGTAGAAAAGAAGGAACAATCAAGTCTGAAACGATTAATTGACACTTTGCAAATGAAGGATTTACTGTATGCTTCTCAGATTTTACTGAGAGATTCTGTAATTTTATACTCAAATAAATTTAGTTATCCTCACTGAAGTTCTCGTTCACTACACATTTATTACAAGATAAAAAGATGCATCATATAGACAAAACTTTATCAAATTTTCCAGATGATTATGAAATGGTCGGTGACAAAATAGTTCTTTCTATACATAATTATCACAATATACACCATTTAGTTTACAGAGAGATCAATATGATGATTATTATTAGTTATTACTTCGGTGGCTATACTGCATGAATTCTTTTGTATAAAAACATAATGATAAAGTGCTCAGATAAGATCACACAATTAGCATGAACGACGCAAAATATTTAGATTCAGCAAAATTGCAACTAAGCAAATTAAAACAAATACCTTTCCATTACTGATATTCCATCTTATTATATTAAACTACTTATTAAGTTTTTCTCTTCAATCATATTACAATTAATGTTAACACGAAAATAATATATGAAACATCATATTGATGCATATATATATATATATATATAAAATTGAATGGAAACAACTGTGTTCCTCTGGCTTGCTTTAATCACCTGATGAAAGATGCGTAACTTGATCATTATTATTGGCGGCTTTCAAATACAATGATGAATGTGTAGTATTTAATTCTGATTGGTCGATAGATGTCGAAGTCTTCAACATCATATCACTGCTATTGTTCATATCCGATTGATTACTATTCAAGGATAATTTTGTGTTTTTTTCCATTTCTTGTAAATTTTTAGTGATTTGTGTAACAAATGTGGCAAGTTCATCAGCTATAAAGTAAATAAAAATGAATTAGTGTTATTGTTTCTTTTTCTTTAAACAAATAATTGATATTTTTAATAGTTGAGATCATGAGACAATTAAAGCTAGACCACCATGGAAAACCTGGAAGCACTGGACAGCCGTTTCGTCCTAGTATAGGACTCGTTAGCGGTGCACATTGGCAACTGCGCCAAACGAGATTCAAGCTCAGGATCTATTGGTCTCGCACGCAAACGCTTAACCTCTAGATCACTGAGCCGGCATCCATTGATAATTTAAAATAAACATTGAACTGACGAATTTTCTATTCAATCAGTTATCAATCAATGCGAGATTGTCTGCTCAAGCCTTCGTCTGACAAAAACCTATGCTTCCCCAAACTAATATCAATCTGAGACGAATTTAACCTAAAAATAAATATATCTTTCTAAAACTTATTCAGTTGAATTACAGTTAGAATTTATTATGAAAAAGATAAGTTTATCATGCTTTCCACTCTGTATTTATAGGTCAAGTTGAAAATGCTTAATATTAATTGCTTCTGGAAAAAAGAATTAGAACTAAAGATTTCGTTATTTGTAAACTATTTGGAATACCTTAGCAACATAACTGTCTCATACCCGACACGGTTGAACTGCACTCGCCTCGAATTTTCACTAGAACTTCCACAAATTCCTCTCGAACTTGACCGTGATACCTGAAGGTACTTAGGCTCGATCCACGCTGAGATTGTTAGTACGCACTGCTGAGGAGTCTCATTCTAGCATGAAGCATCTGTACAATGAACCGTGTGCATTATTGTTATCCCCCAAATCCATGTTAATTCATGATAAATACCAAGAACAAACAAAATTATCATTTCTCTCTTTTCAATGTAACAATCATTTTAACTGGAACAATTATGTATTTATGTAATTTAAGCATCATAGCAAATTAATCATTGCAAATCACATGTATCATTATTATGATAGATATTTTCACTGAGTATTTCTTACTTGTCTATACATATCTAGTTTCAATCACCCTCACTCCCTCTCTCTCTCTCTCTCTTCTAACTCACTTGGTAATTATGATATTTATTTACAAGATATATATTGGTCTGTACATAAATATACATTGGGGGGGGGCTGATATGTGCATGATGTACAATGAGAATTGACTAATGATTCTACTTGAATAACAATGAAAAAGCGAATTACATTTTATTTCACAATTGTTTTTGTAGTATAAATAAATAGACAAATAAAACAAGTACGCGTCTAAAGTCCAAATTAAAAAATGATTTGTATCTAAAACAAGACAATGATATTTCGAAAAACAAAAAAAAATTATTGAGATAATGAACCTGATTTAAGTTAGATAGACATTGAAAATCTAATATCCAGAAAACACAGACTACCGCATACCACCCGGAAGGTAACGGCTTAGTGGAAGGAACAAAGAGAACCATCAAAACTCTTCTACAATCCTTCATCAAAAAGTCGTCGATGGAATGTAGGGGTGATGCAATACCGACGCATATCGCCTAGTTAAAACCAACCTACAAAATGCCAGCAAACACAAAAAACATGTGCACGACCAACAACCGAACAGTCTAAGCACACAACTGTAACAAAACGTGAACAGATGAAACACCCAAGAAGTCTGATACCTGGGAACATTCTGTGATCTTTTGACCAATTTAAACAGATGCTTTACGACTGATATGGAGTAAATTTTAAGGAGTTAAGATTGATTTATTTTGAAATTTGTAAAATTAACTTCTAATATAATAACCTCAGCATACTTATTTATATAACAAACTAAATAGACATTATTGGATACTAGAATTAATTTCGTTCAACAAAGTAGTTGCTTTTATCAACGACCAATGCTCTACTAAGAAAACACTGACTAATAATCCATAAAACAGATAGAAAGACATTAGTTACGTCGATAAAGCATATGTTCACCGTTATCCATTTAAGTAATAGAACATATAGGCCGATTTCTAATCATAATGAACATAAATTAAGGTGGACTTGTGAATATCCAGCTGACGAGTCCCAGACAGGATGAAACGCCTGTATTGGGTCTCGCTGCTGGCCACAATCACCTCTGCTTATAAACATAACTTCGTCCCTAAATACGTCATAGTCTGATCGATTCATTTATTAGTTTACACCCTAATCAAACTTATTCGATTTGAGAAAAATATCTGTTAGTTATGATCTTCATAAATTACTTTCTCTTAGAGTACTTATATAAAATTAGAAAACATTGGTTAACTATTTTATCCTAAGTAAAAAGACTCTGTTTCTTTTCAGTAATCTCCGTTTGAACTGAAAACTTCGTAATCATTTTCACTGATAATTTCGTCCATGAACATGACACTAAACCGTGTAATTACCACACACAAATAGAGAAAAACACTAGGTAGATGTTTTAACATTAGCTAAAACTCTTTAAAAGTGCAGAGACATAATTTCTAAACAAAATAAGACCTTGGGACAAAGTATCAATTGACAGGGTTCCGGTGGATTATAATTCGTAATAAAACCATTTCATTTCACGATTGTTAATGAATTCAGCAAACTGGGCAACCAGCTCAAATTAATGACATATATCTGTTCATTAGTCGACAAATGAATTGATAATATTCAGCTCAAGACTTTCAGAACTCATTGGGAGGAATTTGTTTTTATTTATTTAAACACATAAATACTGGTATAAGGAGGCAGCAAGTATTGATGCGTCACACAGATCATTCGATTTGTGTGAGGCCTGGAATACTGATCGTGCATCCAAACCGAAACAAGTTGTTTTCTTCAAGTGGTGCTCTTCAAGCCTCTGACCTACAGGTGTAACCCACAAGACAGTGGATCAACGCTAGGCGATGCAGTCACATGGTAGACAGTGGCCAAAAACAGGTTCATACACCCATTGTTCCCTCAAGATCCTGGAGCCCATGTGCACCATCGATTTGGAATCAGGGTTTATCAACTAACCTAGATGGACCCGCTGCGTCCACCAACCCGGCTAAAGCGCCGGATATTCTCTTTTCGTCTTCTCCATTTCGGAAACAACACTCCTGCAGCGAGAGGCCAATGAGTAGGACTTCCATAGGAGTGGCTGTATTTGCATGGATATGTGAGACATTTTGAGTGGAAGAGCTAACTCCCTTATGGCCGTGAAAGGGCCTGTAGGTTCAGGAACACATAGTTGAAAATATTCAGAGGGCTCTTTACATTCTGTCAATAAACAATACGACCTAAACGGAAATAAAACACCCTTTTGAGCACCAATTGTGCTGTCCACCACTGAATACCAACCTGGTTTTCATTGGCACACACTCACTGAGAAATTTGTAAACCCTGTGTTCGATCTCTGTTGGTAAGATTGGGGATATATATTGATGCGGAGTCCCATAGTAGGACGAAATAGCTATCCAGCCATACCACTTGGTTTTCTTTGGTTATTTAACTAATGGTCAGTCTGTAACATAAACTATATTGCTATTGACTGAAAAAATACTCATCAATTTTAGTGTGCAAATCCGATAGTAATTAAACGGTAGTTGATTTACATAAATTTCTTCGTCTGCCAATAATCAAAATTCCATTATAGAATGTATGTCTATTCATAATAGTAGTGAATATAATCATAACATGGCTCGATTAAACATAGCAAAAGAGTTCCCTCTACTGCCCTACAAAAATTAAAACACCATAATTGTATTAAAAAGACAAAAAACACATTTAGCATTAAACAAATGATTACGATACAATTCAATTCACTGTGGTGTGTGCTACTTATATAGACATAAGTAGTATAAGTCAGTCAGCCAGTCAGTCAGCTACAATGTAGGACCAGGCACATGTGTGCATCTGTCCAAGTTGCCACACTTCATTAGCACAACAAGATAAACATCCGATTCATAGAAGTAGTTAACTAATTGGTGGTAATATAAAAAAAGAAAGATTCCATATAAGGACATAATACAGGAAGAAAGAGATTAGTCCGTAGAAAGAAAGATATGAGGCGATTTTAAAACGCCAGTCGGGAATAGAATGTCTGGTAGCAGAAGGTCGAGAAGATCGAAAAAGGAAAGAACGGGCACAGAAAGTAATTGGTATAGAAATGCAGGAAAAATGACATCTGAGGCTCTTATTTAACATTTTGTAAATGAAGTATTTATTGTATGATTCTCCTATTTTACAAAGATATTCTATTATATTGTATTAAAATACATTCGATTGTCCCCACTTGTGTTCTCGTTCACTACATTACAACTGAACTAATCGTCAGATAAATAACATAGTCTTTTTGAAATCAAGAACAAATTAGTGAAGTTTGGACATTGAACCTAACGGTTTAACTAATAAAGCAAAACAATGTTTACACAATAAAACAAACAAACAAACAAATGTCGTTATGACTTTTTCTAATGAGTCATAGTCAAGAGGAGAAGAGCTTTTATGAAGAGAAAATGGATTATCTCTAGTGTGATTAATTGAAATTAACACGTTGGTGATTTAAACAAAAATTCAATTACTGTTAAATCCAGGTTGAATGGGGTCTTCTCTCTGTTGATTGGTTAATTTATGGATTATATTCATCCCAGAGGGATCATAGAGTACTATCGAAAATATTGAACACCGAACCACTGTTACAGCAGTAGTGCTTCGACTAAGATCAATCTGTGATAAATGCTATCTATAAATTAAATTGATTCGTATAAAACTCCTTTGACTTAGCAATAATAATCAGCTCACTACCAATGACTTATTTTAAGATGTTCCTGAATTTCTAGTAAAAAGCCGTGACTGATGAAGTTCAAACATGTTGAGAGTGAAAAAATTGTCATAATTTGGATTGATTAATTGTAGAATTGTGGTGTACGCTACTTAAGTCATATGTAACACTAATTGGAAGCAGAAGCCTTGGCAGTGGAAGGCCAAGAAACTCGACAATAGAAGTGGAAATAGAAAGGAAATGTAAACTGGAAGAATCATACACAGTGTGAATG